GAAATTGGAAAAGAAGATGAGGGACTTTTGTGGATGGGTTGGAAATATTATCACAAATACCACCTTGTGAATTGGGACCAGATTTGTAAACCCCATTCCCAAGGTAGTTTGGGATAAGACATATAAAGACCTTCAATTTAGCATTACTAGGTAGCTGCCTTTGGAGGTTTTCTACTGAGCCAGATAGCCTATGGAGAAAGGTAATAGCAGAAAAATATGAGTGTCTGGATATGAATGGGTGGGATACTGGCTCACCACCTTTGACATAGAGTAGAAAAATGCTGAATTAAAAAATATAAAAGAAAAGTAGTTTCTTGAAGAGAGAAGGAAAAAAGGAGAATAAGAGAAGTTGGAAAGAAAAGAGAGCAATAATCTGGCCGCCCCCTTCACTTATTATTTATACTAAAATAATAGAACAGTACAAAGACAACTATGCCCTTATAGGGCGGCAAAACATAAAACAGCATATATAACACTCAAAAACATAATAAAATTTGGACTCACATAACTACTGCGGTCCCCACCTCCTATCTAACAACTAACATAAAACATCTACGCAGAAAAGCATCATAAAACAAATTAATCTTCAACATCATATAGCTGTGGTTTATGGAAAGGAATATATAAAATTGCTACACATTTCAGAAGATGTATCAGATGTAAAATTGGAGATGTCAGAAGGATTAGATTCTGGTTAGACCCTGGATCGGTGAAAGCATACTTAAAGAGCTGTTTCCTGCTCTGTTCAGTATGGCTACTGATAAGGAGGCATTGGTAGCTGACTCTTCTGTGAGGAGGGACAACAACATTTGCTGGACTCCATCCTTTAGAAGGGATTTCAATGACTGGGAGATTCAGATGGCTGAAAATCTACTCGCTACTCTCCAAAACCAGGCTTTAAACCTTCAAATTCAAGACTCGAGTATGGAAGTGGAACAAGGCAGGAGAGTTCTCAGTCAAATCTTTTTACAGCTTTCTAGCAGGAGAAGGTGAATTTTTTCCCAGTCAGGCTATTTGGGGGACAGTGGCACCCTCAAAAGTCAAGTTTTTTGTATGGGTAACAGCTTTAGAAAAGTCTCTCCAAAGAAATGTTGCTGAAAAAAGGTTTCATCTGCAATGACTTGAGATGCTGTCTTTGTAAAGTGGAACTGGAATTAGAAAGACATTTGTTTGTGCATTGCAAGTTTGCTTCAGAAATTTGGAGCTATTTTTTGAAGGCCCTGAATTTAAGTTGGTGCATGCCTGCCTCAGTGAAAGCCTTGTTGGAGGAATGGCACATATCCGGGTTGACTAAGAAAGGGAAAGTCTGCTGGTCCTCCATCCCTTTGGCAATTCTGTGGGCAGTGTGGCTGGAAAGAAACAACAGAAACTTTTTAACACAGCTTCTTCTGAAGCTAAGGTCCTGAATTTAAGTTGGTGCATGCCTGCCTCAGTGAAAGCCTTGCTGGAGGAATGGCACATATCCGGGTTGACTAAGAAAGGGAAAGTCTGCTGGTCCTCCATCCCTTTGGCAATTCTGTGGGCAGTGTGGCTGGAAAGAAACAACAGAAACTTTTTAACACAGCTTCTTCTGAAGCTAAGGTCATCAATATGGCTATAGGGTTTATTAGGAACTGGTTGTCTATACATGCCGTGTTTAAAGATGACATGTCTGATAGTAATTTTTTGAGGTCCAACTTGTTAGCTATTTGTACAGCTTCTCATTGTACAAAAGGCCTTTTGCTTTAATACAATCATACATTACCTTTTTGTCAAAAAAAAAATGAATTTCCAAACCTTCTGCTAGCCAGTTGAACATTCTTTTTTCATTAGCAAACTTCCATGCACCATTCTCTTCTTTTTGCAGCCATCCTATAACCAATTTTGAGTCCCTTTCAACAATGAGCTTACAACAGTTCAACTCCTTAGCCTTCTTCATTCCTTTCATCACTGCCAAGATCTCAGCTCGGACCGAGTCACCTAGACCAATAAGACCAAAAAATAAAGCAAAGACTTTCTTGTCCTCATCACTAAAAGTTCCTCCAATTCCAAAAGGCCCCAGGTTACTTTCACTACTTCCATCAAAGTTCAGTTTGACAAATCCAAAAGTTGGTGGAGACCAAAGGAGGCTAATCTTGATTTTGGCACGGGTTGAATGAATCAACCACTTCATTCCAATTCCTTCTGTAGGCTGAGGGGTAAGGCAATCGGAGGAGGTCTACCTGAAGGATAGTAGATGACTGGAAGGTTGGGTGATGAAGCCAAAGGCAAAGGCTAGAGCGGGAAGAAGAGGATACTGGAGCAGGCAGGAGGCTAGACTGCTGGAGCTCTCATAGTGATCTCAGGATGATCTCATGTGAAGGGCTTCGAGCCTCTCCTATTTATAGAGGAAGAGGGGCTAGCTAGAAGAGGAAACAGGGAAGACAATGGTGGGAAACTTTCCTGCTTCGAAAGGCAGTTAGAGTTTGTTAGATCTAAAACAAGTAAGCAACTCGAGGTTTTGCCACATGTCCATGAGAATCTCCTAGGATCGGGAGTTCTCACCTTTAGAGTCCACATGTGAACATGTTTATAGCTACAGCCCCTTCTAGAAGCTCACCGATGGTCATGTGGTGTGGCGCATCTTACAGAAGCGTCTAAGTATCTAGGAATAGCATCGCAAACGACCTGATGTCATGATTGCACCAGGCATCACCTTAGTGACCTTTTGTGATGTCAAGTTAGGTAGTGAAATAGATGCAATAGCACATTGGGTCTCTCACAAGCGTGGTGTTGAATATGTTTGTGGTATTCTGTGATTCGTTACTCGCACTGTAGCGCCTAGAACTTGCCGTTGTCATCACAGTGTCTCCTCTTGCAATCGTGCGCTCAAAGTGGCAATGCTGCTGATGGGAGGATCAATGTGATGTCACAAGCGGCATCGTAGGTTTTCTAGGGTTTTAAAAGACATGTGAATCTACGATTCAATTCCCGGCTGTGTGATTTGCACCTACTCTGGCGGTGGATATAACCTTTATAGCAAGTTCTACAGTAGTTACCTTTACATTATTATGACCTTCATCGCAGGTTTTGTGATAGTTGCCTACATGTACTTAAACCTTCTCATCATATCTATAGAGATACCCTCAAACATTTCTAGAAATTGCACCCACTTTACCACTCTAATAGTAACTACTTCAACAATGGCATCGTTATTCCTTTCATTGTCAGTAAAAATCCTTGGGTTCCTTTTTTCCCAAATTGTCTAGTAAATGACAGCTCTAACACATCTCCAAAGAATTCTACTCCTCTTATTTGGCCACCTAAAAAAGGAAGAGACAAACAAGCTTTGTACATTAGGTGGGGGGTCCACCTGCAATCAAAGAAAGAGAAAAACCAATCTCAAATATTTGAAACAATACAGCAAGATATTAATAAGTGATAGCAGTTTTCACCATCAGCCTAACAAAGCATACACCAATTGGGGGATAAACACCAATTAGGTCTTTTTCTTAGGAGCAAGTCACAAGTGTTACACCTTTCCAAAAAGGCTTCCAGCAAAAAACCCCAATCCTTGGAGGAATCAGTTTACCCCAAACTTCCAAGACTGGAAAGTCTTGCCCTAGGCTATCAGAGGGCACCATAACCACTTATTGCACCAATGGAAAAGGATAAGTTATGGGCTAAGGTGATTGTAAGTATTCATAGGAAAATGGATGATTGTTGGGACGTTGGAATTCTAGTAAGGGCTACACGAGCTTCTCCCTGGAAATATGTAAATACTATCCTTTCTGCCTTTTATCAAGTATGATCTTTGTGCTAGTAACCGGGTGAAATTTTTGAGCATAATTTGATGGGGGATGTGTGTTTGAAAGAAGAATTCCTTTCATTGTATTCCCTTTATTTAAAAATGAACTTTTAGTTCCCTCGAACTCAAATTTTTGGTTTGAATGGGACTTGGGTTTTAGAAGGGGTATTAGGGATTCTAAAGTTCATAATGTTTCAGCTTTAATTCAGATATCGAGGGGTGGTTTTGGATACAGGGAGAAGGGATAGCCAGATATGGACTTTGACTTCCAAATATGTGTTTTCATGTGCTTCTTTTTTCAAAGCCCATAATTTATTTGGTTGATCTATTACAACCATTTACATTTTCTGTGAATTTAAATTTTGCTTTAACTCATTCTATTGTGAAGCTCTGAATCTTAAGGTTTATAGGGGAACTCCAAAATGTATTCTTTTGTCTATAACCTTAGTTTCTTAGTTTTGTTTAATGATTTGGAACAAGATAATAATTTAAAAAGATGTGCCTATGCTTCTTTTATAATTTCATAAAGTATGAATCCATATTTTACAATGTTTCCAACATGTTTCTTATATTTGGATGACCGACATTTCCACCAATACTGACATTTAAACCTCGGAAATGGGAAGCAAGAGAAAGCAATACTCTAACTGAGTTCATTGTTTTTATCAGTGTAAACATCTCTTTATGATCAACCCCATACATGTGTATAAACCTTACTCATTAGCTTAGCATTATACCACTCAATTAATCCATATGCCTTATAATTCACAGCATAAAGCCATTTCCAACCAATTGGTTGAGAAGATGTGATGCCAACAATGAAAGGAACATTAACAATGACTGATAACAGTGAACAGGTGAATCAATCACCTTCTTTTATGGTGCTTTCTTTCTTATTTTCCTTTTCTACATTGTTGCTTCACTTACACCTGTGACCTTCATTTTCTTACTTTTTTGTAAACCCCAACCCTTATTGAATCAGAATCAAGGTTATATTCTGGTTGTTTGCTTCTTTATCCTTTATGGCATCATAAGGACATCACAAATCCATTCATAACTCAACTGCAATTGAACCAATAACTCATGATCTAGTCTTCTTTACAGGTTAATGAACAATCTAGGTTTGACAACATTAGCTACACAAACACCAAACCAAACAATCTTTAAATAAAACACAGTTGGGACAAAGATTTGAATAGTACCATAATTACAAAATATTAATTCCAAACATTACCCGCTTTGCACCAGCAAGAGCACAAAATATTGAAAGAATGCCTGTTCCACAGCCAACATCCACCACAACCTACAAATAAGCACACAAAAGTAAGCATTACTCAAGACATAACATAGTTTTCAAGGTTCCAAGGTAAACCTAGGTGACAGATGCCACTACTCATCCAGGTGCCTGTCTAGGCATGATGAGTTATATATAATAAAAAAATATATATAAATCCAAGGATAGTTCCCTAGGTTTTATAGTAATCAGCAGTAATTTTTGACTAATAGTTGTAGTGATGCAGCAGCAGATCAGTCTTATATTTTTATTCTCTCTTTATATGTTGTTTGATACACCCAGTCCCAATCACACCTACATCCAGCTTAGGTTCACTTCCAGAAATCTCCATATGCTCACAAGCCTTTGTTAAACAAAACAGATTCAATTCAATATTCATTATGCAGAACTGAACCCCAAAAAACAATAAGCAGTCCAGTTCACCTCTCAAGGGTGTACATATCCGACTGTGTTCTGCCTTCACCTGCAGGTGGTTTCCCTAATAACACCTGTTGCACAAAAGCCGGACCTATTAGCACTGCCTCCTTAAAATCCAACAGTGACTTCATTTTCTTCATCTTGATTTCAGGCCAAATTGTGACCACAAACATTTTTCCCTCCACCACTATATTAGCCGCTTGAGGAGGCACACCATTCCAACGCACCTTGATTCTTACACATTCAAAGGATTCTCTGTAGATTCTATTGTCATCCACTTCCACGAATCCCCCACACAGGTCCCCTATCCCTCTAGCGATTTCTCTACTGCACAAGTGCAGTGGCAAACTGTAAATACTGATCCAGAGGTAACCTTGGATGTCCTCCTCTTTCTGCCACACTCCTCTTTCTTCCACCAAATGTCTTCTATTATTGATCAAAAAATGCTGCTTCCTAATCACCCCTTGTCTGGCCATATGATCAGCTAAACCATTGCTGACTTAGGAATCCAATGGACTCTTACCTCCAAATTTCAAATTATCCATTTAACTTCATTAATCTCTTGCCCAAAGTGCCACATCCCTTTCTCATTATGCTTGAGCCAACTTGTTACCACTAGTGAATCACCTTATAGCACAATCCTTACAAAATTCATTCCCCTTGCTAATCTTAGGGCCTGTAGCACAGCCAATAATTCCACTCTTAAAGAATTCCTGGTCCCTATTGGGCCTGAAAATAATGCTATAAGCCTATAACATCACCGCTTTCATTTCTAAGCACCCACCACCCAATAAGGACCCAGATTGCCCATGCTGCTGCCATCAAATTTTAAAACCAAAAGTTTAAAGAAATGTTTCTGGTTCTGTTCTGAAAAAACAGAAAAGCGCAACACAACTAAAGGTGGGGTATGTTTTAAGGAATAATGTTTTCTCAAACCAACCATCCAGCCCAGTTTTCTTGAAAAACATAAGAAAGCAAACAACTCATATTGGAGAACATCCCCTTTAATAGCAAGAATATCCATGTCCAACACGAGAAGGATTTAGAAACCTATTGACTTCAAAGACTATCAAGATTTTTCCCTTTTCCGGATAATTTCCAAATTGAGCAAAAAAATAAAGCCTATTGCATATAAACAGAAAGTTTGCATATATAACATTATTTTCTGTATTCTGTCAATTATCAAGAAAACTCTGTTTCAGAACCAAGCGACCCAAAAACAGCAAAGCTACAAAATTAACAAGCTGTCAAGACACAGGAATTACACTACAAGTTGATTTTTTTTTTGTAAAATTAACAGAACTTTTATTAAAAGAAATATCAGAAAGTACAATAGAAATGAGGAAGGGGTCAAATCCCTTAACCCTCCCTTAGATTAATATTCATGTTACAACATTGCCCAAAAAAGACTGACTCTTGCCACCCCTTGCTTGGCAAGTGAATCTGCAAAAGAATTTGCAGACCTCTAAATAACTTAATTTCCTTGTTCCAGGTTGACTGTTTAAATTTCTTTTTCTCATTTAAGAAATTCCAAAACCCAAACTCTTCCTTCTGCAGCCAGCCAATAAACAACATTTAATCACCTTCCACTCTCAATTTTCTGATATTCAATTGTTATGCTCTCTTTCCCCATTCCAAAACCACCAAGACTTCAGCTCTTTGGGAATCCCCACTTCCAACAGGACCAGAATACAAAGCAGTAATTTTTCCTTGCTTATCCATGAATACTTCTATACCTAAAGTTCCTAGGTTTCCTTCACTACTACCATCAAAATTCAGTTTGGTAAACCCAACAGCTAGAGAGGACCAAACTGGATTAGGAATAGTTTTAATAGGAGCTGAACAAGCCACTTCTTTACAATTCTTAACAATATCTCCCGCTGAAAATCCCTCAAAGAGTTTCATAGTCTTGACCCAATGAACCACCCTAACAGCTATTGTTTCGATTATGGCATCCTTCTTTCTTTTTCAGAGAAGATTCTTTGATTTTTTTCCTCCCAAACTGTCTAACAGATAACTGCTCTTACACATTTCCACAGAATTTTACCTCTCATCTTTGACCCCCTAACAAAACAAGAATTAAACAAGCTTTGTACATCTAAAAGTTTATGTTTCTGACATTAAGAGTAAGTGGAGGTCCAAATCTACTGATAGAAAAGCATAAACACACAATCCACTATATTAATAAAACCTTCACATGAATAACAATGCTCTCTTATGTAATTTATATGCAGTCTAACAATGTAAAAACAAAAACAACATTACTTTGCCTGCAATAGAGCTTTGATGCTGCAAAATTGCAGCCCTGTATGTCTCAGTCCGCACACGATCCTGTACAATTTAAGAAAATATTTAGAAAATTCCTAAGCCAACAAAAGAATTATATTACTAAACATTAGGATTTTAAGAAAGGAGAAAAAAGGAAAACTAAGATAAGATGAATAAGAGTTGCATCATTTGGTTCCATTAAACACAAATATAATTTATCTTCATATAACTATACATGGTTCTTTTTTTTTCTTTTTGTGTGTATCGAGAGGACATAAAAGTGGAGCCAATCTCATAGAACCTTGTCCATCAAATATATGAAACAGAATTTTTCACAAATTAGGCTGGACGCCAAGGGCCTTTGTTGATTTGGTTTAATTCCCACATTTTTAAACTTGAAAATGTAAGCCAAATGAGTAAATGAAATTATCTTTCTTTTCTTGATCACTAACAAGTAGGAATGTAAACAACTCCTCTAGTGTGAGCTTGTCTTGCACCTCTGGGTTGTCACGTTGGCAGCAAGTATTAAAACTTTTTTTTTCAAATTCTCATGGTCATGGATACTCAATTGTCTTTTTGTGCTCATGCTAGGGTGTTTCCCTAAAGTAATGCCCTACACCTTAACCCAAGTGTGGTGAGAAATGAGAGAGGTATGCTAGGGTGTTCCCTAGAATCAATGTGCCACAACCACACCCAATTGTTGTGAGAAATGTGCAAAGGTTCCCACAGGAGAAGGGAAAAAGACCATTTGGTTAAATGGGAGGTTGTGTGTAAAAGTCTAGAAGAAGGAGGCCTGGGTGTTGGGAATGTGGATAAAAAGAACTTGGCTCTGTTAGGAAAATAGTTATGGAGATGGCCACGGGAAAGGGATAGGCTATGGCATGAAGCAATAGCCAGTACATATGGAAGGTTGGGGAATGGCTAGGATGCAAGTGTTTCTAACCAGGCTACCTTAGCATCACCATGGAAAGCTATTCATGGCATTCTGCCTCTTCTCCTCTGTTTTGTTAGGTTTGGTGCTTGTTCAAGACTTCAAGGGATTCAATTAAATTTTGGAAGGATGTTTGGGTTGGTTCTTACCCTCTAAAGGATCTCTTTCCATCTTTATACTCAGTTTCTTTGTACAAAATGAGTGTATTTCAAAATTCATTGTTCCTCCCCTTCTCCTAGTGGATCATAATTGGGACTTTGATTTTCGTAGAGAGTTAGGGATGGTGAATTGAGGACTAGTATGGATATGCTTCAATTCCACCAAAATGTGTGTCTAGACCCCGATAAGCCAGATAAGCAGATGTGGACCCCTCATCCTAAGAGTTTGTTTTCCTGTGCTTCTTTGTTCAAGTCTCTTTGTAATTCTTTGCCCTCTCCTTCTTTTCCCCTAAAAGAGTTCTGGTGCAAACCCATTCCCCCTAAAATAAGAGCTTTTTGTTGGGAAGTAACTCATGGAAAGATGAATACTTTGGACATGCTATAGAAGAGAAGACCCAATTCATGTCTCTCTCCAAACCGGTGTGTTTGGACTTATATGGATAAAGGAAGTACTGGGCCAGTAAGGTATGGGCCGAAGGGATTAGAGATTGAACCAGATATCCTTTCCACAATTCATGTGACCAGCTTAAGCCCCATTGCTTCAATAGACCCATTTTGTGGTCTATCTTCGTCTTCTCATGAGAGGCCTGATGAAAAGAAAAAAGAGAAGATTCAATTTGGGATAGGTAAGATGGCCTTGCATTTGAGGTCCAGGAATTCAAATGGCTGTAGAATATCAATCACTAGGAGGAACTTCCAAAACAATGATTCAGAAAATAGGAAGGCTGATGAGAATTGGAAATGAGTGGTAACAAAGCTCAATCAAGAACATAAGGTGATCAGTATGAATCTTGGACAGGAAATTTCCCCATTAAAAGATGGATCTCTTCAAGAGACCAAAGCAATGGACAGTTAGTCTTCCTCTGCTGAGTTGGAGCTTGTGGATGTTAATGGTGGGAAAGACCAGAATTTTCTTAGAGGTTCGGAAGGGATGGAGCAAGAACATTCGCAGTTTGACTGCAGCAAAGAGGTAGAGTTTGGTCTTCCCTTGTCTATATTTGAAGAAGAGATGGTGCCAAAAAAAATTGAATGTTTATGGGTGAAGCTTGCTCGCAAGAGCTTGAGGCAGCTTCTTTTTCAGATGTTTCTGGGGTCTCATTGTGAAGCTCCAAAACCCTTGAGGGAGACGCTGTAAATACTCAAGCTGGTAAGAGTTCTGAGGAAAAAGAGATAGGTCCTGTTTGGTGCATCTTTCCATGTGGGCTGTCGGCTTTTTAGAAGCCCGGCAGCTCACGTTTGCATCTTCCTCTGTTTGGTTGGAGGAAGAACTTTCCACCAAAAGACAACGCCCCGAAAAGACATGAGAAGCTCAATTCGAGCTTATTTCGTGAAGCTAGAAATGGAGCTTCTCGCCTTTTTCCGCCTTCTCAAGTCTCGTTTTCACACGAAAAGACATGCCTCCAACCAAACGGTCTGTAGGTTGATAAGATCTGTATGTAAAAGCTCACACTGTCTTCTGGATGTCAGATTTTCCAGAAGATCTTTCAAAAAAATACTTGCCAAACGGCACCATAGTTTTCTCAGAAGTCATTGTGGGGAAAAAAGGAAGAGATCTTGGTAGGAAGACGCAGGGAACAAGGAGACTTGGGTTATTGAAACAACATACTTCCTTCTCAAAATCATCAGTAATTTCTAAGAAGATGAAGAGCACCAATATTGGGCATCTAATTCACATTACCAAAGTCTTCTCCAGTCTGAAAGATGGACTCATAAGTGCAGGCCCAAGTAGCAAATTCAAGAGAGTGCATAGAAGGAAAAAATTTAAAGACAAAACTTCCTTGATTAGAGACACTGTTGATGAGAATCTATCAAGCTATTTTCCAGTTGGTGGCGATAAGGGAGATAAATTAGTAGACTTCACCGAAGAGGTATTGGCAAAAGAAGGGGTGTTGTCAGGGGAAGAGAATGTTTCAGAAGAAGTTGATGAAGCTGAAGGAGAAAGAGAAGGGAGCAGAGTTGGATAGAGTTCAAAAAAATGAGCAAAAGGTGGATGTGGAAAATGTGGTGGAAACTGGTCTCCAAGTGAGTAAGAAGTTGGGCTTATTGGTTTTAGGAGGGTAAGTAAAAGAGCACTTTGGGAGTTAGAGCTATAGTACCGGCTGAATACTGAAACCTCTTGATATGATTAGTGTCAGTTTTTGGGTTTTCTGTTTAGGGAGATTTTCTGATGGGTGGGAATATCGGCATTGGTTATCTGAAGGTTGTATGCTTTGGAAGACGGCACCACCCACAAAACCCTTGAACCGGATTACTACATCTCCTTCCGTTAGAATTGCATCTTCCCTAAACCTGTTAGAGACTTCCATAAACAAGAAAAAACCCATTAAAAGCTCATCCCTCGAACTCAACTCTCATTCTCCCTGCCTGTGCAGTATCAAATGGAATACTGCATAAACATAAAAAAGGTAATCAGTTAAAGTTTAGCTCCAATCCTCGGCACGCATCAACGATTCCAAGAACCAAGAGTTCCATCGTTAAAGCAAACGGGAGAAAGCACGGTATGGATAATCTATCTTTGAACTAAAAGACTTCAATTCAATGTATGTACTTCAAACTAACCATCTAATAATGAGAAACACTAAAGACTAAATCCAAGCAAAACCCATCAACCAGAGACACTAAACAGACTGTCATAATATTCCCATCAAGAAGAGAACATCTAAAACTGTAACGATCGTACGAAATGAAAAATAAAAAGAAACGAATAAATAAAAAACGAGTAGTACCTTAATCATCTCCTCGTGGATGCCTACATGAGAGTAAGACTGAAAATACGCCATGTCGAACTCTGTACAACGTGGCCTCTCCTGCCCAGAAACCCTAAACCCATGTCCACTCCTCGAATCCCTCGAGCTTCGACTCCCCCTTCGAAATCTTTCTCTTGGACTCAGCCCAATACGCTTTTCCGACGAACCGTGTGGCAGATAGCCGTTAGTGTAACCTGAACCCGGCAACATTGCGGCAGAGAGAGAGAGAGAGAGAGAGGGAGAGGCAGAATGAATAGCAAAGGAAAAGTTTGTTAAGCTTCTGTATGTTTTCTCACATAGGAATCGAGCATGGGCCTCGGCGTTCTCACAAATTTTCTGCACAAAGTTTGGAAAAGAGACTCGGTTCAAAAACAAAAGGTTCAGGTACCATGGTCTCCCTCTCCCACTCTCCCGACTCCCGCTTTCATGTCAGATGAGTTTTTGATTGGGGTCCATGCGGCCGGCTCGACCTCGACCAGCAAAGCCCGAAATCTTACAAAGGGCTTAAGCTTGAATTTTCGGCCCTCAAATTGGGCCTAGGCCCAAGACTTCGGGTGTTTTTAGGGGTAACTTGAGTTACCACCTTATAATTAGGATTAGTATAAGGGGGAAAGATTCCCAAGATTCCCAATTTCATTGGGGTGTTTTTTTTGTTGTTGACGCCATTCACGGGAGATGTTTATAGCAGGGTGGGAATTAATATATTTGGGGAATTAATAAATGAATTCTTGAAGTGGAGTGGAAGGCATTTCTATTTTTTTTAGTTCGGTATGAACTTAACCCTTAGGTACCTGAGCTGGCTTGACCTTATCCCAATCAAAGCCCAGTCCAACTATGTAACATGCATACATACATATACAGATACATATTTACATATTAGCATGCATATATACACACATGTATGTCAAAATTCAGAGTGAGCTGATTGATTAACCCAAGCCCGGCCCAAGCCTAGGCCCAATTCAAGTGCACCAAATTTCTATACGAGCTCAACCTGAATTGAATAGATCAAGCTTGACCTCTGTCTCGATTCGAGCTCAACATAGGATTAAGCCTGGATTGACCACAAACCCAATTGAACCCGCCTGACTTGCACCCCTAATCAAAGCCCTAATGAGGGCCACAATACTAGGATTGCAATTTTGGCATGCCCAACCTAAGCTTTTGTGTGGGATTAGGGTTGAGTTTTTGGACACTAGGGTAGGGCTAGAAACACGAGCATGACCTAAGTAAGAGTTAGGCTTGGGTTGAAGCGTTGGGTAGCCTATGCTTAACCTGACCTAACACAAAATTGCCTAACATTGTACGACATATACATTTACATAGTTACTGATATTTTGTATTTATATTATTACATAAACTAGTAAGCATGCGCACATGGCAATTCTAGATGATGATAATGATAGTAATAATATATCCAAAATTTTCTATAAATTTTTTGTATTTTTTTATTTTCATTTTTATATTTTTTGTTTTTTTATTATTAATCGGATGCAGACTGCAAAATCCAAATCTAATTACACAAACACCTCATCCAAATATATGATAATCGAACCGAATTGTGAAATTCAAGCATCATTGACAGGTCTACCTATTTAGCTAGACTTTTCTTTTTATAGTAATAATTGAAGTTACATTTTCAACCATTACAGTTAGATATGAATTAAATACACAAATATAGGCATTTTAGTAGCCATTAAAGTTAGCATTAAAACTATAATAAAATGGCTTTTATACCCTTTTCTCAAACAAAGAAGTAGAGGATAATTTTAGTACAAAAAATTTTCACATTGCATCCACACTTATATATATAGTATAGATACGGGAAAATGTATGATGTGAAAAAGACATGGTACCAAAAAAAAACCCACCCAGGGATCTTGATAAATACGAATATATTACCCAACATCGTTTGGTCACAAGTTTTACAAACACTCATTGTTTGGTCACAAATACCACCCATGAATTTTGATATCATAAAATAATAATGCACTAATTTTAGTCAATAATAAATATCAGTATACATTAATGTGATGGAGTTGAGTGTATGCACTGTCTAACAATGAAGTCTTTAGCTTTTGAACTTTTTTATAACTAAAATACCCCTATTTTTTGGATCTGATCCCCCTCTCTTATATAGGCAAAAAATGAAATTTGAACTACTACTTTTAAATTCATACAATTCCCCCTCATTAAGTTCTATATTTAAGGTATCATGTCCCATTCTCTCTCATTAAATACATATTTGTTTGGGATTATATCAGTTAAGAGCAACTTTTGGGCCCTAATATCAATAAAAATAACATATTTAATAAAATTGCAAAAATAAGTTAACTTTGTAAAAATAATATAAAAAATGGGCAAAGTTACTGTTCATCTTCTTCCTAGAGCCGCCCACCACCGCCTCCGACACAACTCTGACTGTCGTCTCCACCACCGGTTGTCATCTCTGACAACCGCCTCCGATTGTTGTCTCTGACGATCGAGAAAGCCACTTATCTCTCTCTCTCTCTCTCTACCCATTTTTTCTCCTCCTTCCTCACCCACCTTCGACCAGCCCTGTTCACCACCTTCTTCGAAAACACCGAACTTCCAACAGCGGTACTATCCTAGCATTCTCACACAACTCCGGCGTATTTCTGATATCTCAACCATCGCTTGATTTCATTTTTTTCCTGTATCATTTCTCTTGTTCACCCCACCGTTAAAGGCTTTTTGTAAACAATCCACGAAAGCTTTGTTCTCGGCCCTCATTACTGGTTAACCCGAAAAGCTCTATTCTCAGTCCTCATCATCGGTTAACTAGAAACATTAGCAACGACGGAAATTTGACATTTCCATGTTAGACAGTGTATGCCCTTAGCTCTAATCAGAATGATATACATTATAACATTTATTGTAAATGAAAAAAGTTTATATATTTGATTCATGTTATTATGGAGTGTTTCTGTGTAACACTCTTAAACTGGACACATATGAGACTCGTGTTAGCTTAGAATCGCTACAGTCATTGGATAAATCTGGGAGATTTATCTTGTCAAGGCTGACACTGATGTGCCGCCAAGTTGGTTGGGGTGGCTTGTCTCAACTGCCAAGGTGAGACCTGAGGTACATGTAGTGTGGGTTTTCTTGAAACCCTGAACCTGACCAGAATTCCAATATTGCCCCAGACCTTGGAGATAGATGGGTAAAACTGGAATGTTACACTTGACCCCTAGACTTGATTATGATACTACACTAGGTGTCGAATTAGGCTATTTTTGATATGCCAATCAGTGAGATCCTTAGAGAGAGTCAAAACGTGAGTACGTTGGGACAGTTCGAGAATTCATCTGAGTGGGTGATCATAGCGACAACATCAGCCCCTTTGTCGGACAAAGTGAAAGATCGGGGATGCACTCTCTCCGATGGAAACCTAAAACTACCAGCAGTCGATTTCAACCGTTGAAATTTGTTTTGCAAAATATATTTATATAGAACTATATATATATATATATATATATATATATATATATATATGTATGTATATTATGGTTTCAAAATGTTTGCAAAAGGTTTTAATTGTAGGGATTCATGTGAGTAGAGAGTGCATCACTGTACCTTGCAGCCGAGGGAGTTGTCCTCTCTTGTCGGGCAGTGTTTGATCATTATGGGCTGAGAGGTTAGGTGTAAGACCATTGAGGGTAATACCTGATGGGCTAATCTTGCGTCTGCCCACAGTCCTTGGGTTTTCATAAGGTGGCTGGACCCAAGGACCATTTAGTGCAAATGTTGGACCCATTAAGAGCCCATGGTGATGGACTCATGGGTTCATTGTCTCCTACAGTGAATTCGGCCAGGCCTTGTAACAGAGGATGGGTTGAACCCATGTGGCTGAAGTGTAGATCAATATTTGGGTCCCATGTCATACAAGGAGAACCAACTGAACAACAGATTAAGAGGATAAGTGAGAATATAGACTTAATGAGCCTAAAGCCCAATTCAAACTGGCTTAATAAGATTAATTAAATAGGGGCGAATCTGAGATTTGGATCAACAGATAGGATAATGGATTATCCTTATCCACTTAAAGAGTCCAGATTCAAATAAAGATTTGGATCAAAGAAACTCCTAATTTGATTAGGAAAGTTGATCTTTATTTGTAAATAAGATAAGGGATTATCCTTATCTCTTAAAGAGAGTCCAGATCCAAATAAAAGATTTGGATTAGGAAACTCCTAATGGGATTAGGAGATCCTCTCCTTAAGGCTATAAATAGAAGAGCAAGGTGAACCTCCAAACACACAACAACAAAGAACAGAGTTTAGAGTTCGCAGATTACAGAGAGAGACAATACAGTTTGACTGCTCGTCTTCTACTCTTTTCTTTCCTGCTTTTGCCGCCCCTACCCAGTTTGATCTCCACTAGTGGGAGTGATCAAGAACGGTTCTTGATATTGCCTTTTGCTAGAAGAGGCAATCTGAAAGTCGTGCTCACCAGCCCTCTATCATATTCTTGCTGAAGAATTCGGTTATTGCTGAAGAGTCGTCCTACTGATTCTGCTTCACCTCACACCGTGTCATCTTCGGTGGAAGCAGCCTTTGGTCTTCTCCTTGGGCGTAAACACCTTCGTTGGGGGTTATTGTTACCCCGTATCAGGTATATCCCTTTCCTCCCTTTTGATTTCAGATCTAGTCTGGTTAGGTTTCAAGATTGATCCTTAAAAATGCAGTTTTCTAAAATAGGGAATGCGATTCCCTCATGGGAAAGAGAGAAATTTTTGAAATTTCGCCCAACCTTCCTGTAGGGTTCGGCCATCCGTATGTTAGATCTCTCATCCCTTTAGTGCTATCAGAGCCAGGTTCAAATCTTGAACCGAATTAAGCTAGATCTGGATCTGCGCAAATGGGCAGAAGGCATTCTACCCGATTCGCGCAGTTAATGTTTTTTTGGGAAATCGGTTTCTAGTTTTTGGGCGGTTGATCCAAAATTAAATCTTTATTAATCTGATTAATATTTAGAATGGTTCTATATATCTTTCTTGATTTTTGGATTGTTCGTATGGTGGAAATTGAATTCTTTAATGGCGCAAGAAATCTGCGCACCTGCTGTTCTATTCATTCATGGTCTGTAATTTGCAGTTTGGAAACTGCATACTACGAACAAACCTTTGTTTTGCAGGGTAGTAGACTTACGAACAACCCTCCTACTGATTCTTGAATGTTTTATATCAGTTATTTAATTTCAGATCATCATCTTGAATTAAATATTGAAATTAAACATCAAATCCTAGATACATTCGAATCAGATTGGACCAAAATAGTTGGACCGAATATGTGGTTCGATGGGGGCTGTTCTCAGCCCTAAATTTTTTCACATGGGCCGAGGGATTGATGATTAATTGCAAGATGCAATTCGGTTCACAGCTGTAAAACCCAATCTTAATCTGTTAAAACTACTTT